ATACAAATATCGATTTCTATGCGTTTTGTGCTGTGTAACAGAAGTACAAAACGCATATTGTCACGGGGTTGTCTGTGTGTATGTGTGTGTGTGTGTGTCCACAGCAACTTGTCCGCAACTTTCAACTCGGGAGCCACAAAAGCTAGGAAGTTGAAAATTTAGGGGAACGTCCCCCACCCACGTGTGACCCCGCAAATTTAAATTCAGCTTCCCCGTATGCGGGGTAACACGTATGGCTCCGTGAAAGTTTTTTACGGGTAAATTAATATCTCGGGAACCACGGAGTCTAGGAGGCTGAAATTTTAGGGCAATGACCCCTGCCCACGCTTGACCTTGCCCATTCAAATTCAGCGTTCCAGCGCTCTTGAGTATCACCAATAGCCTCATGAAAATTCTGGCGGGTAAACTATTATCTCGGGAATCACGGAAAGATATTCGCCCTTCAAGGCTTCGAATTCAGCTTTCATGCGCCGGTTGCTATTTATTTTTTGTTCCAGTGAGATTTTGGACTGTAAGCATAAGCTTATTAGCTTTCAGCATATAATTTCATCCTGGGAATTGTTACCCCGTAAATGCCCCTCCCCCCTCCACCCCTCCCCCCCAAAATCCCTGCCCAGGTCTCCAATTCTTATCTCCAAGCAAAAACCCAGCTCGTTCGCAATCGACGTCTCAATAATCTCCCCTTTTTTACAAGCCCCTGCGACCTAAATCAGCAACAACAGTCTCTTTCTCCCTCTACTCTCCTCCAATTCACTCCATCGCGGCGGCATCTGAAGGAAATCACGCCGACGGGGTCGTTTTCTTCAAATGGTTATGGAGCCGGAGGGAATCGAACCACTCGTCTTCACATTCGGACATAACATACTAGACCACTGCACTACCGGTTCTTGTGCTCGCCTGCTGGAGCACCCCTAATCTGTATAACATATGCACTATACATTGTCTGGTTGCTGAATCCTATGAAGCACACCCTTTCAACAACTGCCGCGGCTCGTGGGACTTCCACAACAGGGGGCATACCATGATCATCGGAACTTACTCCGTCACGGTCAAGCTAAACTTTTTTTTAGTAACTGCTGTAAATAATCTACCTTTATGCTAAGGTCCAGAATTCCACTCAGCTTGTGGCACAAGATAACCCTTTTCGATTGCTCCCACAAAAACTTGTACTGGCACGTGTTAGGGGATGAAAAACCTTATTCGCTTCAGCATGCCATCGACAGCTTTGCCTCTGTCCCGTCGTTAGTATGTACTATCAAAAGGACTATTTCTAAATGCCCCTGCTTTCGCGGGAAGGAGCTTCACGAAAATAAATTTTGACTTATCGTTGCAGGAACGAGTTTTCAGTCGAAACTTGACAGTAACTGCCATCCGATTTCAAACACAGACATTACGAATTTGGCCCACAAACTCTCCCCCTCATGATAAAAACACCTCAAATGGAACACCTAATGAAAAATAACAACCCTCTAACTACCAGTGGCATGGAGCTTTCAAAAAAAAAGAGGAACATTTCTATTTTTGGCATCCCAATATAGATGATATTTCCATGCCTCGTCCCAACCCTCTTTCTCCGCCCCCTCCCCTCTGCTCCGTCTCCGTAATCATCCGTCTAAATTTCTACGTAGCGTCACACTTTAAAACTCAATTTTATATTATTTTGGGTGAAATTTCGAATGTTTTTAGCAGGAAGTACAAAATCTTGAAGATTCCAAAAACCCTAACAAAAAAATCAGCTCAAAACTACAGAGACCTCAGATGTCGGCGGCCTGAGTTACACAAAACGAGCATGGTTTTGTGAAAAACTGTGCTGGTCTCATGATAAAAGTCTACGGTCCAATTCTGCCCGTGCGACAATCAATACCTCTATGACTCGTACACTCATATTTTGATGACAAACTGCGGCAGATACCTACCAAGGAATTGGACTTGGTGCTTGCGAGTGAGCAAGCCATCGTCTGCCTCATAACTCAGTGGTTGCTATTGGCATGTGCTACCGCACGGGCTACTTTCGAACGCTTTTCCAATTTATGAAAAGTACGGAGAGGACTCACAGTAACATCAACCATAATTCGATGAAACTCTTGTTACTTCGAACAGTCTGTTCACCATATTTTCCCATGTAATTTTAATTTTAGATGATGTGTGTTTATGTAAAAAGTACAGGTTTAAAAGTAAGGGAATAAAAGGAAGGTGAATAAGATAAATCGGAATAAAAGATATTTCCCCTTATATATCTTTTATTCCGATTTATCTTATTCACCTTATCAACTATTCTGTTTATTTCCCCTTATCAACTATTCTGCCCGTCTCCCCCCCCCCCCCCCCCCCCCCCCCCCCCCCC